AAGAACGTACTCTCCACAATCTCCGGCGATGCCAAGAGCCCAAAACAAAACCTAGATCTCAAATTACAAATTCAAATTCAAGATGATCAATCAATTCCCCCCCAATCCCCTAAATAAACACAAAGGACAATAATAAACTTCCTAAAACAGCCCCCAACATTCAAATTTTTCCCTCCTAAGATCACCCAAGCCAACGTGGCCCTCCTCTAAATCTCGCTCCCCCCCTGTTTTTTTTCCGCCTGGAGTAACAGTGGACCGGTCCGGGCTGGACCGGTCCAGCCGGCCCCTCCTGGGCCGGCGTAACAGAAGCCGAGTTCTCCAAAAGGTGAGTGCCCCTTTGAGTGAAAGCTTGTTGTGGTGAGTCCTCCGGTCAAACTTGTCGAAAATAGGCACATCCTCAATCTAGTCCTTGAGGGGTGACCTCATATGTTGCGAGCTCAAGAAGGGTGAATGCATGCTTGTCCATAGCCTATTTCTAACAACTACCCAACAAGGCAAGTTTTGCTTTGGATAAGCAATCCTGGCGATGGCCCTTGCGCATGAACCTGTTTGATATCTGTGGATTACGTATATGAGCATATGTGGACTTGCACCTTAGTTTATTCATTAGAAAATATATTACTTTTTTTTTATTATGAGTTGTGTGCAGCAGCTAGTTTTTATATTGCACGCTTTAAGAGATTCAGCTGTTTATTTCATCCACATCAAAAACATGCTACATTAACTATTTTTGTTAGATGTGTTCATAAAAGGCTTGATTTATGTAGTTGAGAAATGCATGCGTTTATTTCATCTGCGTCAAAAACATGCTACGTAACAACTTTTGTTAGAAAGAAATTAATGTTTCGAAGTGTTCCTAAAAGGCATGAACTACATGGTTAGAAACTTAGAATACATGACTTTCTCCTTCCCTTTTTGACTTGTTAGCTTCAAATCCTTTGGATAAGGCTAGTGAAATCTTCTTCTAGTGAAATCTTGATAATGATTAAGAACTTTACCTTTTTTTTCTAGTGAAATCTTGTTCTTCTTAATTTTTAGGATGAATTTTTCAACCTTTCTCTAGCTTCATCGCTTATGTTTTTGTTGAACTATTGGTATATTCAAAAAAAAAGAACTATTGGTAGGCATTCTCTTGTCTACAGATGATTGTGCTGAACCCTCTTATGAACAGGTGAAGCTGAAGAACATGCTCTACCACTCTGCTCGAATCAATTGTCTTGCTTGGTCTCCTGACAACCGCCTGGTTGCGACTGGCTCTCTTGATACTTGTGTTATTGTTTATGACGTGGACAAACCTGCATCAAGTCGAATTACAATTAAGGGAGCACACATGGGAGGGGTCTATGGATTGGCTTTCACTGACGAAAATAGCTTTGTCAGTGCAGGTGAGGATGCGTGCGTGCGTGTTTGGACATTGCTGCACAAGTGATGCAGAATATTTATTTATTTCGTTTATTTGTTGTTTGAAAAATAGCATTTGCTTAACTTGTTTGTGCCATTTTTTATGTTGTTTCTTATTGTAATTTTTGAGAAAATGCATCGGTCTTTGTGCTCGTGGGTAATCAAGGGTTGTGCTAGTTTTATGGTCATGATTGTCTATATTTCTGCAATTTTTGTTCTGCAAAAAAAGAGGGGCTGAATTTTAAATGTTTTGAATCTTTTATATTTAAATTAAGATTTCATTTTGATAGTGTAGTATGGGTTTCATTATTTCTTAGGGCAATCCAAATAGCTTCCTATTAAATAACAATTCAGATGAATTATTATGAAATTTCAGATTTTTCTAAATTTATTATGTTTAAACCATATCTATTTTTTCAAATGTCTTCTCTCTCTCTCTCTCTCTCTCTAATATAATTATAATATGTTATGTCATCATAAATTCATATTTGATTATATCTAATACTTTTTGCATTTGAATAAAAAATCGCGTTTAATTATTGAATTAAATTTTGTTTAAATTTTTTACGGTGAAAAGTATGGGATATGCATTTCACTATGGAAAAGCTGCAAAGCCATCATAAAGAAAAAAGTGAGTGTCCTGTCCATTTTTTTGTGTGTTGGATATCCTTAATCTGATCAATATCTAACGCCATCTAATTATTGAAAAGTTATGTATGGTGATTGCAAAAGGATTATATCAAATGAAAAATATTTACAGATTCTCAATAACTCTAAAAGGATTATTTCAAAATGATGCAGTACACCAATTAGTGATGTTAATAACAAAGATTTCAAAGAAGAGCAGTAGAATACATCCTTCAAAGTATATAAAAAATATCATGATTTTTAATTTTTAAGGCATCTAACATAAAGGAAGAACCCCCATATCATAATGAACCTTACTTTGTAACCATCACTAGAATGTTAGTCAATTATTCTTAGTATTCTTGAAACAATTAACTATAAAAATATTACTTGGGAATTTTCTTGGGTTTCTCATTCAAGATGTAATTAATTAATTTTGAGGACTTGTATTGATGAGAAATCTCTAGGAAATATATTATGTTTGTCTTCCATTTATCTTGTGAATGTGAGAATGTAATAATGTTCAATTCTCATTTTGCTGAGCCGATTTAAATTTCTCTTGGCATCTTGAGGCTTTTTCAAAACCTATAGTAACATATGCCAACCCATGGTCATCAAATCTCTTATAATTATTCCATCTTGACTTATTTGTTTTGGCTTCAAGTTATTTAGACTATGTACTCTCTTAGGTTTAACTAAAAAATTTTCCATTTGTTATTTTTTCATGCAAGAAAATAAATGTTGACAATGCCTTAACATTTTATTTGTTTTATTTATATCTTTTTTTTTTGTTTTTTTTTTTTTGGAAAATTGATGGCTTAGCCCATTTTCATTGATATGAAATAAAAAAAACAAGTGTAAACTGTAAAAGAACCAAAAAGAGGTGCTATAGCACCATGCAAAAAGGCTACAAAAAACCTACAATGAGTAAAATGACTGCCAAAAAAACTAGTCAAAACCCCTACAAAAAAAATTGCAACCACAAAAAATGCTTAAGAGAACCAGCCTCCAAAAATCCAGGAACACATACAAAAAGATATTACCTCTCATGCGAGCTCAGGGATTACCGGAGCTCTAACAACCTGGTTGCAGTAGACCCCCATACTGCCATCCAAGGGAGAAACAAGGCAATCCAATCATCATTGTCCATATAATACCGAATAATCGAATAGCCCATAGCAGCAGCAATATACAGCATTTGAAAAAAAAAACCACCTATTATATATTATAGCATATCCAAAAGAAAGCAACCTCGTTTCCATTTCAAAACCTTAGCAAAAACAGAACTTTTGATTTTGATGCTTAAAGTAGTGGAAGAAGCATAAGTGTTGCCAAACTTCCTATCATTTCTTTCCCTCCAAATGTGGTAAACCGAGCAGCATATGATAAGGTGGTAAAAAGTCGTAGTCCAATGATTAGCCTTACAAGTGCATTCAAAAGCTTGAAGAATATTGGGCCTTAAAAGGTTTTTCTTCATCCAGGTATGAGTTGAGATAGCACAGTAAAGGAGTAGGGGCATTCAAAAAAAAAAAGTGTAATATTTTCAATATCAAAATGACAAAAACAGCTGCCTAGTTCCACCAAGATTCCCCTTAAGTTCAATGCATCAGCAGTTTTTAGACCACCTAACAAGGCCATCCAACAAAAAGTAGAATATCTAATAGAGAAGCGTTTATGCCATACAAATTGGTGCCAAGTAACCATAGTGTCATTTCTGTAAAGGAATTTAATGTAGTCACTGTGTCTAACTTCCCCCTTTCCCCCTAAAATGTTTTAATTGACCTCGAAGAGGGGAGTCCGCATTTTTCCCTAGCCGCTTCCTTTTCTTTTTGCCCTAGCCGCCATTTTCAGGCCTGCCACCGGCCTCCGCCGGTGGCATCGCACACTCTTCTCTTCATGGATACCACCTCTACTCTCCATTTCCCCCGGCTTGGCTCCTCCACCTCCGCAACCCCCGTAGCTCCACTCGCCTTGGACTGTCTCTGGTCTAACATCATCGCTACTCCAGAAGTCTCTGCTGCCACTATTCTGGTCTCCCTCATTGAAACGCCGGAAGAAATAGTACCTTTCAACAAATATTTCACTGATTTAGCAGCTGCGGAATGGAATCTTTCACTGGTTGGCTACTCTGTCGGTAAACGCCTATACTACGAATCTCTTCTCTCTACTGTTAAGAGGGTTTGGAAACTCAAAGGTAATTTTCATCTTATTGCCCTTAGTGATGGATTCTTTCTTCTCAAGTTTTCCAATGGAGAGGATTATGATATGGTATGGTCAAAAGGAGCATGATTTTTTCATGGCAATCCCTTCATTTTCAAAAAATGGACCAAAAATTTTCATCCAACCAGAGAAAATTTCACTTCAGTTCCTATTTGGGTTAAAATACATGACTTACCTTTGGTATGTTGGAATTTTGAAGGAATTTCCAAAATAGTCTCTAAACTTAGGATACCCTTAGTTGTTGATGCTCTAACTGCTATCAAAACCAGGCTTACCTATGCTAGAATATGTATCTAAGTCTCCACTACTTCTTCCTTTCTGAAAACTGTGTCTATCTCCATTGAAGATGAAATTTTTAAGCTTAAAGTGCACTACGAATGGAAACCTTCACCTTGCTCCACCTGCAACTCCCTAGCTCATTCTTCGACTTTATGTCCCTCAAACCCACAAACTCAACATTAACAGCAACCCTCCAACAGAGGTCATAGCACCTCTCGGCAACCCTGTAGAAAGCAATACACCCGACCTCCTCCTTCCCAGGAAAATACCGCCTCTACTATACCAGTCTCACATCAAACTGAGCAAACCACATCTATCTTACCCTCTATCACCGAGATCCCATCCAGCTCCTCTCTAATTTTTGTACCACCCCAAGTTAGTATCCAAAACAACACGCCTATTCCTGATAAGGATATGGCTCTTGTTGAGTCTCTTGACAATAAGAATGTCAATCCTTTAAATAGCATTATTTTTAAACAAACTCTGTTTGTCATTGTGCCTCCAACCACCTTAACCATTACCATTCCTAACCTCAATTCGCCTATTGATGACTATATTGAAAACCTTGAAGTAGAACTGAGTATCATAGTGCCATCTTCTGCGGTCCTAACAAAAAATCATTTTTCTGCTCTCCAAAACAGTGAAGAGCAATCTCATATTCAAGTGGAATCTGCTGAGAACCTTCAAACTAAATCCTCACAAAATTCTAACCCAAAAATCCCCAACACCACTATGTCCAAAAATACTATAGGTAAAGATCCAAAAAGCCTCCTACGCCCACCTCCAAAACTAAATGATTAATCCCTCTGTAGCAGCTTGGAATATCAGAGGATTCAATTCCTCTGAAAAAGTTTGATACAATCTCTCCGACTAGACATGATATGCATCATGGAAAATATAATTCATAATTCTTCTCTTGAGCACTCATTTTTCAATCAACATAGGGTGTTTGATTTGGAGGATAGCTGCAACAATTTTCATTGTTCTGATCCTAGCAGGATCTGGATAAAATGATCGCTCGATAAGCTCTCTTTTCAACGCTCTTTCATCGCTTCTCAAATGATCACTGGGAATATTTCTTATGGCTCTTCTAAATCGTTTCTGCTATCAGTCATTTATGCATCCAATAATCAAGAAGAGAGGAAAACTCCATGGGAGGATATAAGAACTCTTACACCTTCTAAAAGAATCACTTGGATCATCATTGGAGACTTTAATTGTTGATACCCTTCTGACAAGCTGGGAGGTAATGCTCTTCATCAAAATCAACTTAGTGATTTCAATAGTCTCATTTTTTATGCTAATCTTAAAGAGTTGACATCTGTTGGGGCCACCTATACTTGGTATAATCAAAGGATTGTTAATCTCATTCATATTAAGATTGATAGAATGCTAGTTAATGATGAATGGATGGAGTCCTATCCCAACTCTCACTATGTGGTAAAACTTCCCACATGCTCCGATCATTGCTCCATTGTCCATTTGCCAGGGCATAGTGAAATCACTCATCATAAATTTCTATTTAGGAACTATTGATCTAAGTTGAAAGAATTTTGGTTCTTATTACTATCTACCTTCACTGGTAAAGTTAGTGGCTAGCCATTTGTTTCTCTTTGCTCCTTGCTCAAGTAGCTCAAAATTTCCATGAAAGGGAAAGAGTGGACAAAATCTAATTTGATGGCTGAACACCTAAACTCCCTATATGAAAAGCAAGAAACATGTATCAATCAATTGAGCTTGGATTACAACATTGATGAGGTCTCTTTGACTCTTAAAATCATAAATCATCAAGTGGAAACTGTCTCATCTCATTGGCTCTCTTGGGTTTCTCAAAGAGCAAAAATCAAATGGATTTCAAACGGGGAAGATGATCTTAAATTTTTATATTCGAAGATTCATATGAGAAGGAACTATAGAAGCATTGCTATCTCTCTTTCAATGGCTAATACCTCTACCTCCTACACTGAAGCGATCAAGGATCCCATCTCTCATTTTCAAGGGATTTTCAATCCTTCTATTTGGCCATCCTTTGACATCAACCAATTTTCGGTGGGTAATTATATTCCTCATGAATATCTTCTTTT